ACGACGAGAGTTGCTGGTACCGGGTTACCGGGTAGCACAGACATGAAGGGACCCTTAGGGGCGAAGAAAGTCATTGATTGAGTTCTTAGTCCACACATCACCAGCGCATTGAGACTTCGGTATAATGTGCTATACTAAATCCCACTACATTACGATGCGACGCTGTCTACTGATAGTCGGTGGCAGTCTGAACGGATTGTTATTAAAAGTGATCTGTTGCACGCGCGTCACGGTGTTGCGTTCTACATAAAATCGAGTCAGCCGACAACCGTTGAGCGCAGCAAGTGCCCAGCTTTACAATCCCACACTGTACATAGGAAAATAGGTGCGCAAAATTGTGATTGCTTAGCTCTAATTATTAGGATAAAATAGGAAAAGGGACTATCAAGTTTTCTGGGGAGTTCTGATTTAGCTCCCCCCACCCCACACCCATGTTGATATACAGTGCGATTACGAACCTGCCCCTGCACTTTGATGCTGATGTGTTCAGAAGACTCTGGCTTCACTTCCTGAAAGACAGAAACATCATTTTTTTATTAGAACATTTGAAGTCAAACATAAACCTGAACTGGAGCCTACAATAGGTACTACTTTTATAGTTTTAAGGGGGCAGTCAATAATTAAGTTAAATAAAATTTTACTTTTAGCTCAATGCACTCGATGTACAGTATAAAGCATCAGGTAAGGGCAAATAGAAAAATTTATTAGATTATCACTCCCGTCCGCGTCAAAAATTCAGGTAAATATTGATGCGGGAATTAAAAAAAAATTTTTTTTTGCCGCATCAATTATTTCAACAGTATAAAATAACAATGCAATTTTGTGACTTCAAAACTATAGAATTAAACCAGTTTTTATACAATATTTACTATTGCAGGCCCGGGTAAAGGCCAAGTATAAACAGTCCCTTCCTCACCGATAAAAACAAATGCGAAATGATTTAATGTACCGATCAGGGCTCGATTTTTTACTAGCCCGGCGTATAATGGCTAGTTTTTAAAAATGGCTCCGGGCTAGTCAACCTACCTTCCTTTTCGCCTGGTGGGCTAGTGAACAAGGCATACAGTACTGCCGGACACTACTGCAATTTTTCATGCGCGCAGGCTCATCGTAGCCTGATAAAAACAATATAAGCAGGCCTACGAAGTGAACCTACGAAGCAAAAGTGTGTATGTCTGTATGTGCAAGAACACCTCTGTACAGTAGCTTATGGAGCTGTTTTTTAAATAAAAAAAAGTACACTTTGATTTGATGGGACTTTCCACTTCAAAGCTGCAGGCAAAAGAGAGTAAAAAACAGAGGAAATGTGGTCTAGCATGACTAGCCTTAATTCGGCAAGGTAGTGATTTCTATAGTTCCATTAGTATTGCATTGCTTTGCCGGTTCTGCTTCAAATTAGGGTTAAAACAAAAACAACGTGATCTTTATCTGTAGCTAGTAGTGTAGAGAGGCCTATGCTATGCACGATGTTCATGGCCAACCCCTTGCCCTAAATAAAGCTATGCGACAGGTTGATTAATCAAAAATAAAGGAATAGACACATACAGTACAAAATGACGATTGTGTGTGGTTTTTTTTATCCTTTACAAGTTGATGCTGTACAAGGCCTAGCTCTTATCCTATCTGCAGTCGACTAAAAATCCCAAATATGTGAACGGCAAAACAACATATTGTATCTACACATGGAGTATTGTATAACCAATGATTGGGCTAGTAAAATAGCCTGTGGGCTAGTGAAATCTACATTAAACTAGCCCAGTTCGGTAGCAAAAAAAGACGAAAAATCGAGCCCTGCCGATTAAAAAAAAAACAAGACAAAAAATAAACTGCCCTCCCTCATCAATTTTTTTTTAAAAAGTGTGATAATTTTTTCTATGTGCCCTACAGTAACTTTGATTTGGATAACTGACCACACCCCTTTCGGCCGGGGGTCCGCTCAAGGGCCCTAGAGTGTAGATGGTGCATTTACTGTAGAGCGTTTTTAGAGCACTTTTATAGGCACCACACGATGCGTGATATCACGAACTTCAATTAGTGTCATTAACCCAGTTCAGCCAAGCGTGTTTTTGTCAACAAAGGCCTTAAGAAAATATTCATATAAAATGCTTTTTGATTGGTTGAGACGTTTTCATCAGGTCAGTCAGGTCACTCAGGGATCGAAGTAGTATACAATTTAGATTTTTTCCGAAATCAGTCAACTTTTATCGAAGTTATCAGCTTTTTTTGGCATCGCAAAACCGACGATCAGCTGTTGTGTACACATTGTCGCGAGGTAAACCATAATGATGGTTAATATTATTAGTAATAATACATTGTTTATGTCTAAATTACCTTACAGTCTGTATATTAAAGCTTATTTTGCAAACTTTTTACATTACAATGTAACGTAAAGCTGAAATTTGATATATTGTACATGGCCTACGCCTTCAATGATGATAGTAAACAAAGCCGATTCGGCGATCATCATCACGTCACATTGTAAATTGCCTGGTTGTTTTTCATGTTATCGACAACAATAAAAAGCTAAATTTATTATTTTGGTTGTTATTAAGTTGATATACAAACTGTGTGATACTCACTAATAATACAGGCTTTGAAATTGGTACGAAAAGACCATTGCAAAAATTGCCGACGTAAATTTGACATTCCTCGGTAGTTTTTGTATTTCAAGTTTCAGCAGGTTTCAGACAGTTTTTTACAAAAATAAAATCTTTCCAAAATTGTGTAAAATTTTTTGTAAAAACAGGAATTTCTATTCCTTTAAAAGCCATTACTAAAGAACACACGATCGAATGGGACGGCAAATAAACGCACATGGGGAATCCCCGAATTGCTTCGCACTTACTCTTGTAAACAGTTAATAAAACTCAAAATTGAACCACGAGCCGGGCCACAAAGCAGGATTGACTTTTGTGTTTATGTATAATTTTACTGCTTTATTAATTAAAGTAATTTAACTTGATACAGTAATGTATTTTCATGATTAAACAATTATTAAATCATTGTGTTAAGCCTGTATTTTATTGTAGGAATAAGATAAATCATCACAACAAAACAAAAAAAAATTTTAATTTCATTCAAACACCTATTCATTAAAATAGGTGATTTAAAACTCGTTTTTCAGAAAAACGCATTATCTAAAAATGAAAGGAAAGCCATCGATATGGTTATTATATAATAATTCTTTATCTATTGTACTTTTATGACACTTTAAAAGTAACTAGGCCTAGCTAGAATGTCACTTTAGAAGGACTTTAAATCGCGGCCGAAACAGATGGCATTCGGCAAGGCAGACATATGCCCCTGGGCATTAGGTTAAGCTAGATTAAATAAGGCCTGCTACCTAGGCTATGTTGTTAATTCCTAGCCTTGCAGTTAATCCCTGAAGCTAGCTAGCCTAGCCTAGCCTAGGCCGCACATAGGCTAGCCTAGCCTAGGCCTAGCCAGGGAGGGGTAGGACCGTAGGCTAGGCCGTCTTGTCTACAGCAAACCCAAGACTAATGCTAGTTTTCGATTTAAAAATTGACTTTTTTTAACTACACTGTGATATACATGTATCATATAATTCATTACATCATACCTTTTTTTCTTCTGACATCCTGATTTTAAGAAAGTTTAATAAATGGGATATTGAAAAAATAACATAAGCCACACACTCGCGCCAAGGCAATGTTTGATAACCGAAAATTAGTTTTCTCTGATCCATTTTGATTGGACAATGTATGTTCAATTTATCGAAGCAAATCTAACACTTTTGTGTAATTCCTATCGTTAACAGCACAAGAACATTTTATTAAATAATTAAACATTTTTTTAAACAAGTAGGTTTATATTATCCACCTTGAATGCTTTGTTAAAATCACAGATTCATGTATTTAAACTATTTGCAATCTAGCCAATCACAATACGTTTTATATAAACACGCTTAAAAAAGTATTCTGGTTCCCGCTTCCATCTCTTTGTTTCGCACGCACTGGTGAGGCTCTATATAAATAAAGATACTGTATCAATTAAAATACAATTTAAAGACCCAAGTTACCTGAAAATAACAACAGATCATAACAAATTTGAAATTAATATGATCAGGTTAATTTACATGTATTTGATACTTTAATTGTGTTTGTTAAATTTGGCGACCCACTCGACAGGGAGTCACAATCTCTTTTTGTTGGGAAGCGAGCCTCCTTTTTGTCTGTAGCCTCCGGTATTATACTTTTGTCTGTCTTTTTTGTATTTTTGATGAGGCGAATAAATGAAATGAAAAACATGCATATTATTAACTTGAGCATACAAAATATGTAGGCCTAATTTGTACCTTGATTTTTATACTGCTGGAAAATGATATAAATAATAATGACGAGCGGCATTAGCCTATCACATTTTAAGTCTGACTATAATTGAGTCAGACTAGGATCTGACCTATTGTGAGTCTGACTAGTTCTAGGCCTATGATCTGACTACTATGAGACGCCAAATTTATCACAATTATTTACTGTATATACTGTAATTCATTATTTAACGTATGATTGAATAGATCACCCATTATTTATATATAATGCATTTACGTCTAAAAGATTATGTAAATAATTGCGTTAACAGTTTCATTATTTAGGCCTATTTCATTATATATAAATAATGAAAGGCTAATCAAACATTATTTATATATTATAATAAGGTTACTGGTTTCATTATAAATAAGGAAGGGGTAACACATCATTATATATAAATAATGAAAAGTAATTTACAATTATTTATCTATAATAAGTTCACTGATTCCATTATATATAAATAATGAAAAGGTAAACAAATCATAAGTAACTTACAATTATTTATATATAATAAGTTTACTGATTTCATTATATATAATTGAAATAACGAATTGACTTCAAACTCATGCTTTTACATTAATTATAGGCTTATATAATAGCTGTCGCGAAACCATTATAATTATGTAGGCCTACTGTATATAATGCTTGGACTTCAAACTTATGTAATGCACACGTGTTATCGTGTCAAGGTCATCATAGTTACCAACCGTCTAGCATTGTGTGGGACGGTCCCGCATTTCAAAGTGATTTTGGATGAAACACGCATTTTGCAGAGAAACACATGATCCAAATTTGTCACGCATTTATAACACAATTCTATGCGTGATAACGATTTACCACAAATTCAGGGGAAAATGTATTCAAAATTGGTTGTATTAAATAAAACTATAAAAACGGTCATGCACTGTAACTTGAGTGATTAGAGAGTACAGTATTTCATTGAAGGCTACTTATTTCACTGACGAGTACTAAAAATTGATCAGTAATGAAATGTTTGTGTAGGTCTACATAGTTCGGGTGCTTAAATTAAACATAGGCCTACATTGAAACTCAAATTGACTTTATATTAATAATACTTTTGCTTATATACCTATATTATCAACAAACACTCCCAGAAATCGTTTAAAAACAGCTTAAAAATGCTCAGATCGTCGAAGGGGTGGAGGGTTCCCCTGCCGCTTGGACCCCCAGCCAACTGGTATAGTCACTCACGCATTTTTATCTCTCATGTTGGTAACTATGAGGTCCGATATATCTAGTTATATATAAATAACCGTTGAGGTCGAGTGCCATTATATATAAAAAATGACATCGTAGGAAGCCATGGTTTATAAATAATTCGTTATGCAAATTACGAAGTAACAAATATTCACCAGTGCTCTAAAGTTACATTTAGGGCCTATTCACCTATCGAAAATGGCACAGCAGGGGATACAGCAGATTATTGAATGCAGTGGTAGCGCCACTGTTTTATTCAAAATGTTTTGGTTTTGGAAGCTGATTTCGACATTAGAAAACATAGCCTACATGAAGTCACATTATAGTAGGTCGATGCCTATCAAATAAGTAATAAAAATTCGCCATAATTCGTCAAATATCCGTGGCTTCTAGGGGAATCCCCCTGGAACACTACCGGGGCCCTAGGCGGCCCACCTGGCCCCCAGCCAAGTAAGGCTCGATTCGCTCCAAGCCCCCACCCCCGTCGGAGCCTTTAGCCCCTCAGATCCTGGCTCCATCACTGATGGACATAGGCGTAGATCCCGGGGGATGGGGGATATATCACCCCCAATATTTGACAAGGGGGATGGTCCATTGTATCATCCCCCCAATATTTTGACTATGTATGGGATAAAATGGAGCTTTACACACTTCAAAAGACTGTCAC